CTGCTGGAGCCACTCGCCTAGCTTGGGAGTCACCGCACCTAGTGCTCCGATTACCACGGGGACCACCGTTACCTTCACCCTCCATATATATATATATATATATATAAAAATAAATAAGTGTTTTTTATGGGAAAGTTTGAGCCTAACATTAACTGTTTATGTGAAGTAGCAGACTGAGTCTGAATCGATTGATGTTTCTAGTTTTGTGACCACACTGTGTGATAAAGTAATCTGCCTCTCTGTGAACATTTTGCTTTCATGATTGTCCACGTGAAAATGTGGAGGAACAGATGGAAACTACATTCAGGAACCATTCAGAACATGTTTAGAAGTTATACAGCGACCCACCGTCACTTCTGATGGCACAGAGGTGTAGAAGTCTGGATCTCTGTCGGTGTTCCTGCTGTAATCAGGGCTGATGTCAAACACCATCAGCTTGGTGTCGGTATCTCCTCCATCCACACTGAACACGCCGCTCCAAAGCACCGGCTGCTCCCCCGGGATGACTGAGGAGGCCACAAGTCTGCTGCTGTCACCGTCAGAGACACTGAGAGTCGCGCCCCGCAGAGACTTGAGTGTATCAGTTTTGCTTTTTTCGCCTTTGAGCCAAATGAGACGGACTCTGTTTGTTTGAGCTGAGAGCGCGTTGGAGAACAGATAGATGGTTGAATTAAGCTGAAACCCGTCAACAAACTCCACATCACCTTTACTTGTGATCCCAGGTGTGCCTGAAGCTCCATCAGTTAGAGAAAATATACCTCCACCTTGTTTGTTATCTGTATTATGAAGGATGATAGTCTTCTGATTGATACCACACTTGTTGTTTTCGGGCTTTTCTCTGTTTTGTTGGATCGCGGTCAGAATGTAAGTGTCAGTCTGAGTTTTCTTCTTCACATCCACCAGAAAGCTGACTGACCTGCTGCTGCTTTTCAGAGGTCCCACCTGGATGTGTTCTCTGTACAGAAGGTTGGAGATGTTCTTCAGGTCCAGAACCTCGCAGTAACTGCAGTCATCGTCAGTCACACCGCAGCTGATCAGAGCGTCATTGCTTGTAAAAGGCAACAACACGTTGATGCTGAAAGTTGCGTTCCACTCAGCTGTGTCAGAAACCCGGTGAAACTGCACATCATCCTGCTGGTTTCCGGTCTTTATTATTCCCCTCTGGGTCAGACTGTTGATCAGAGTCAGGTCGTGGCTCAGCTGGTACAGCCTCTCCTCTGTGGCGATGTAAACCGTGTTGCGGGTCACGGCTAATTGGCGGATGTTTCCATCAAATGTAAAGCCTCCATCCTCCACCAGGCACAAACTCGGTTTTCCCAAAAGAACAGAAAGCAGAGCGAGCAGCAGGATCATCTTGTAGCAGCAGTGATACTTGTGTCTGGGACACCGTCATACACTGAAGGTCTGCACGGCACTCTGCTCTGAGACACAGTGCCTCTAGACTCATGCGTAAAAGCGCAGTGCGCCTCTGCTGAGAAGAGAAGTGTTGAAAGTGGAAGGAGGCCCGCCCAGCTAATAGAAAAATCAGATTCCAATTTTAGGATTTAACATCATTAATATTTTCTCTCAGCTGTTTTCTCTACTTTCTGCCATGTTCTGAGAGTCTGTACAGTTTAGTGTTCATTAGAACCTCAACAAAATCAAAACAGTTACAGCACTCAGCTACTGAGAAAGCGTTTGTTGAACCTTCAGTAAGTTGTTACACACTGAAGGAAGACAATGTTCGTGCAGGTGCACACTGAGGTTTATTAATCTGAAACATACCAGAATACTAGTTCTGTGTTGCTGTTGACTTCCATTACCATGACTGGCCTGCGTTACTTTTGTAAGGGATTACTTTATCAGTCACTCATTTGTCTGAGCAGCCACTGCCACCTACTGGAGACACTGAAAATCGCCTTAGAGCCACATCAGGTGAGAGCAAATGAGCTTTTTCACTCTGTACTGTGATGTCAAAGGATACACACTGTATGGTTTTAATGAAGACAGAATATTTTCATTCGATGTGTTTTTAACATAATCTTTACATCAGTTGCATTGAACACAGGCCCACTGATCCATGCAATCACGAAGTCTGTGCTGGCTTTGAAAAGTCGGAGAACTTCCTACAAGTTCTAATGACAGAACCACTAAGGCGACATCTAGTGTCACCTCTGTGAAATTATTTTCTCAAGTTTCTGGCATCTTATATCATATTATTGATCACCGACCAATAATATGATAATATGACTTCTTCTACTCTGACAGAGACCACCAGACTGTTATTACCGACAAATGTCAGTAATAACAGAGCTATAAAGGTTATAGACAGAGCTATAGAGCTTTATAAGATTTAGCAATTTAAACTTCAATTTAACAATTTGATATTGAAGAATGTTTCAGTGATTACTAATTCATGTAAGGCAAGACAAAGTGTGACAACCAACCAAGGTCTATCTCAGGCTGGACTGGGACAAAACAATTGGCCCTGGCATTTTTCATCCAAGTGGCCCAGGATGATAACGAGATGATGATGGATCGCTGGACAAGAAATGAACAAATGGGCTGCTGCAAATTTATGGCCACTGCCCAGAGGCCCAAATGTGCATTGGAAAATGCCTGATTACGAGTTCATGTGTGATCTTCCCAAATTATTACACTGGTGTAATATTTATCGGCTGGAACGCAGGAACCTCATCTTTTTCTTTGATGATAATACTGATCTACTTCTGGATTTTCATTTGGTACACATGTCACGTGAGACATATTTCAATGAATGGGTAGGAAATATCACTGGTATGGCCTTTTCAAGGATTTTAACTTAACTTTTTATTTGTGCTACTGTCTCCAGATTATACATCATAGCAAGTCTCACTACCATCTTAGTAAAATTTAGCTTTCATGCTTGCTGCTCTGCCTATGCCACCAAAATCTCTTACACCTGTCTATTCCCACTCCATCCTACCTACACTCTTCACCTCTCTTGTACACTATCCATTGCTTTGGATGGTTGACCCCATGTATTTAGTTAACTCATCTGCTTTCACTACATACCTCTATCTACCTCTCGCTGCAAATCACATAGTCATCTGTGAACATCATAGTCCATGGAGACTTCGGCCTGACCTTGTCTAAAATCACTTCACACTTCAGTGCTCTCCTGCTGATAATAATGCAAATTTCAGTTCGGAAGAAAAGAGTTAATGTGATTTTTAAATTACGGTGATTATTTTATTAACACAAATCCTGTGAGGCGTAAAGCCTCCAAATTCATTTTAGCCACCATGGGTCACTGATTTATTTGGCCCGTTTATGAAGAAGAACCAAAGCATTTGAAAATGGAAACTACAAAGAGAAATAGTTTCAGTTCCTAAACAGCTTTGTAATAATTTTCTTAAACTCCATGAACTGAAGCAAAAATTGCATCTTTGTCCAAATACTTGGACACAGATGTCTCAGTATTACATGTGAGAAGAACATAATTACAACCTGTTACACTAAATATACAAAAGACAAAGGATACAACAGATAAAATATTTTTTTTATTTGTGTCCTGATAATATGACTTCAGCTAAAACACATTTGCAGAGAAAAAAAAATATATAACAAAGCAAACTCTACAGGAAGCTTTGTGATGCATATTTTGAGACAAACAGTGAGCTCCTTCCCAAGAACACTCCGGCTGGTCGGTGGTCAGAGCTTATTCATCTCAATGGTGAGTCTCTTCTGCCAGAAATACAGGGAGTGCAGAATTATTAGGCAAATGAGTATGTTGTCCACATCATCCTCTTCATGCATGTTGTCTTACTCCAAGCTGTATAGGTTTGAAAGCCTACTACCAATTAAGCATATTAGGTGATGTGCATCTCTGTAATGAGAAGGGGTGTGGTCTAATGACATCAACCCCCTATATCAGGTGTGCATAATTATTAGGCAACTTCCTTTCCTTTGGCAAAATGGGTCAAAAGAAGTTTCCCCACTCATGATCCAATCTATGTCATAAAAATAAACTTAAAACAGAACAGTTATCAGTCATGTCTTTCTTCAATTAATGGTAACATGAGTTATATCAAAAATGTTTCCCCTTTAACATTTGGCATTCTCCCAACAATATACCATAATCCCATAATCTAACACCAGTCAATAAAACAGAAATTTTCTCTGGTAAAAGCAAATTGTTTGTCCACATGTATTCATCCACACCTTCATCGGGTCAAACACATTCACTCACATGCAGTCACACCATATTTTTGCTAATAGTGGAGCTTCTTAGCGCAACTTCATCAGATACTCCACCCTCAGCAAAATGAGCTCATTCATTTTTATTTTCCATAGGAAAATATTTCTTTATGCTTTTGGACTGGATTGACTCGCATAAAATCCGTTTTACAGGGACTCACGACCTTGATCGTAGCTCTCCTCAGCCAATTGTAATCTGGAAAGCCCCCTTTATATTTGCTCTCCTCGAGAATTTTCAGCGCTGTTGCAGGCCTGCTTAGAACAAAAATGAGAAAAAGAGAGCTAATTATTAGCTCACAAAACACAAAACAAAATCACCTGACAGGTTTTCTTTAAGTGCACTGTTACAAACTAATGGGCCCCTCAGACATGTCCATGTTTCCTAAAACTCCCTCTATTAAAACAAAACAACAACAACCCAAACCTAACTGACCGAATCAACCCATCACCACAACAACCTCAACAACCTTAAACACACAAGTATTGCCACCACATAATTTCACCTCCTCAATACACCGAAAGTCTCATTAAAACCACACAATTTGCACACAAAAATCACCCCCTTATGCTCTTTAACATACTCAAATTCAGCATAAGACTAATCATAGCGCTAGCCAAAGGCTCATGACCCTCAAGAGACAAATTGAGCCACAACTCCTTTAAAAGCACAAAATGCAATATGTATAAAAATCATTTCTACTTATAAGCTCTCCCCTTTATCCTAAAAATAAATCTATGTAATATCTGTATGTGAGCCTACATTATAAACACTTCTTCTAGAAATCAAAAAAGAAATCAAACCTTTTCTACTCCTTCAACCTTCACTAATTTTCCCCAAAGCATATCTTTTTGTCAACGTGTCCCACAATTTCCCTCTAAGATTTGTATACAGCTTTAAAAACACTGGCATTGTATCTTCTTAACAGGATTCAGTTCACTTTAATCCTTTAACCTTAAGATAAAAATAACAGTTTCAGTTTTACCATATCCAAATGATCAAAAACCCAAAAGGTCCTAAAATGATCCTAAATTATTAAACAATTAAATTATTAAACCCTAAACCCCCCTTTATTTCGACACATGAAATGTGTCAAAGGACTTGACAGGCTCAGAAAAGTCAAAAATAGTGAGATATCTTGCAGAAGGATGCAGCAGTCTCAAAATTGCAAAGCTTCTGAAGCGTGATCATTGAACAATCAAGCGTTTCATTCAAAATAGTCAACAGGGTCGCAAGAAGCGTGTGGAAAAACCAAGGCGCAAAATAACTGCCCATGAACTGAGAAAA